AGAAAAAAAATCTGTAAAACAGAAAATTTAATATGAGCTATCTAAAACCAGACATACCTTCATTAATAAGTGAAAATAGGTAACTCACCCATTCAAAGAAAAGAAGTTTTAGATTGAGCCATAAAATAAAACAAGAAACACTTAAAACAAAGTCATTCAGAAAAGATGTGCATGTATTACTTATATTCAGAGAAACTAAAGCTCTTAGCTTTTATTGGAAAAAGTTGATACTAAAACAGTATTGATATTTAAGATAATTTAATTTAACTTGTAGGCAACTAAACTTTGAAACAGTCTAGCTAATTTTACTTTCTTAATGTTATATTTTTGTTGGTATTTGTCTTCTAGGATTTACATAAACTTGAATTGAAAATTCTAGATAGACAATCAAAGGAGGATGAAAAGGCAGAAAAACAAAGAAAATTGGCAAAATTAAAAGAAAAGGTACTCTGTACTGAGATTAATTTATTTTCACTGTTTTTATGGTAACTCGTTGATTTGTAAGGATACAGAAATAAACTCCATTTTCTTTACATCCATCTCCTTTATTTCATACCTATTTATTTATATATTACAAAAAATAACTTGGTACAACTTAAGCAACTATTGTTTGAATTCTAACATTTTGCATTATAAGCACCTCATTTTCTTTTACCCTAAATTACTTCTTTCTTCCCACTCTTCATTCCTTTCTTCATTCTTCCTAGGTAGCCTGTTTTAGACCTATGGCAGCTATCAGAGCATTGTTTAATCTCATTGGTGATACAGATACTGGTGACTCTCATGGATAAAACAGAGGACTTACTGGTGGTTATTATCTTAAATTTATTATCTGGCTATACCACTGTCATCCTTTGCTACATTACATTTCCCTCATAACAGAAATAGGAAAGAAACAGAACAACAGTAGAAGCAGAATAAAATAATTAACTAGAAAGATAAACTGAATTAACAGTTTTATAATAGACTGATGTAGTCCAAATTTTATTTTAGCTATATGAGCACAATTAGAAGTTTACTGAAGAGGTTATTAACACTTTCATTTTGTTTAGCTAATATCAAGTATTTTTCTTAAATCTGCTTCCTGTTACTAAGGACCTTACTCACGAGTACGAACTTAATAGTTGTTATAAATTAACTGGCACTCATTTTACTTGTGATTACAGGTTGAAAACAATGTTAGGAGAGATCCCTCTAGGCTTTACAAACCTACTAGAGGTTGGGAAGAACGGACCAGAAAGATAGGACCAGCAGGCTCTGGGCCACTTCTGCGTATCCCACATAGGTAAAAAGGGGTTAGAATGGTGTTCATTCTAGAGTAATTTAATAAGCTGCATGTTTTTATTTTATGCAATTTCTGTATGTATATATCTTATAATAAAAACTTGGTAAAGCAAATCTATATACTTTTTAAAAGTTAACATTTAATTAATACTTTTAAAACATTTCCTATATATTGATAATTGCTTTTCTCTTCTTCTCCTTAGGGCTATTCCAACCTGGAGACAAGGAGTTTAGTAAAGAATATGGGATAATGAAATTGGTGTTCAGTTGATAAGAATGTTAGCACATTCAGTTAAACAAGGAGAGAGTGACTAACCGTGTTCTTTAAATATCGCTAGCCTAGTCAGATTGATTATTGTGTCATATGTGAATTGACAAGTATGAAGTTCCATGTGGCTTTGTCACTAGTATTTCCTGTTTATACTAAGAGGGTATTTAATGTATAAGTTGGCCTGTTATTGATGTAAAAGTTCTCTGAATAAGTTTATGTTAGAAATATTATTTCATTTAAACAACATTTCAAAGATACTTTGTTTTTGTCATGGCATAGCAAAATAAACTGAGACAATCATAGAATGACATTTTTAAATGAAAATTTTATAACTTTATAACTTGGAGCTAAATTAGCTTGAGTAAAGTGGAAAGTTTTTTTTGAGTTATGAAATAAGTTAGTACTTTTTCTAAGTTAAACAAATGGGTAATTTGTCAGTTACTATACTTTTGTCTAACAAATATTTTGTATTTGTTTGAAGCATGCTTTGTTTTATATAGAGAATATTTATTTTAAAAATATGCCTTTCACCTCATATATACCCTATTATTTGTATTATTGATATAATCTTTTTGGTTTCCTTCAGGTATTTCAAATTTCCTTTCAGCCCTTCTGGACTTCACATATTTATAAAATCTTTGTGTCTTCCACATCTTCCTGGCTCATGCAGTTTTCTTTTCTGCTCTGTTTGTCTCAAAATATGAGCATTCTCTGTTTTGAAACATCATCTGAAATAAGCTGGCATTAGAATCCTATGATTTCTCTTGGTGGTGTTTAAAATGTTTTAAAATTGCTGGACTACTATATTTGGTCAAAAGAATCAATTTTAAAATTTCCAAACTTCTGTAAAGAAAAACACCATTTAACCTAATTTGACTTTACTTTTCATATTAAAAAATCTTAATTCCTGAGTTTAATTAGTTCCCATCTTATAGAAAAGTTATTATATACATAATAAATAAAAGAAACTCATTTCTTACGATTTTTAGTGTATCTTTAATTGTAATTTGATGCATTTGGGTCAAATGACTCAGGTAGAAATCTACTATGAGTAGTGGTCAAAACCTTTTCTTTATGGTTATTATTCAAAGTAGATGGCTTCCAAATTTTGGAAAATAAATTCTTATTATACAATTTTGGGTGCAAAAGGAGAGAATTAACATAAAACATTCTTAATCAGGAATGCCTATGTTATTTGTTGTACTTGTTCTTCTTAACTTTTTTAAATGATTTGAGGCAGTTTATAAATATAGAACAGGACAAGGGAATTTAAAAACAGAACTGAACAGCTACAAGACACAGAAAGTAAAGGTTTATTTATGCATTGCTTTCTAACTTGTTGCTTTTTGTTGTACACAAATGCAGCTTTCAGTTTCCTGAATCTAAGGTAAGCCTACTGGGTGATGTGATTCTTACGGCTTTTTGTTTATTTTTTGTTTGGTTTGTTAATAAAAGAAGTATGAAAGTGAAGACACCACTCCTCCTACCTGAATCTAAAATAAATGAGGAATATATCATATGATCCTTTGTATAAAGAACATAGAATAACCATAAACATAATAATGTCTTCAGTTACAAGCTCTTAGAATAGATGTCAAATAAACGTTATACTGGATTAAAAAGTATATTAATAAGAAATTTAGGAAAAACACTAAAGGAAAACTGTTATAAAGCACCCATAATTCCACTACCCTAAGGTAACTTTTTCCAAAAGTATACCTACATATTTTTAAGTTGCTAGTCTTAGAGTACATTTTAAATACCATACTATAATTGCTTCTGTATGTTTCTATATAATTGAAACATTATCATTTAATGGCTAAATAATATTCAGTTTTACAGATGCTCTATCATTCCTACACTTTGAAGACTTGTGCTGTTTACACTTCTTAGCTAGTAATTGTAATAATTTTATGTCTGAGTTAGATTCTGTCATGCATATGTGAAAAATTTTGTACTGTAAAAATCACCCATAAAAAGGTGGGTGATTACTTACCTAGGAAGTGTTTTATCTCTGAGTGAGTCCACCATAGAAGTATTTGCTCCAGATTTGGGTCAGACTGCTGGTTCTTGAACTAAGAATCAGATGAAATATTTGGCTTCCCCTTAAAGGCCAGGCTGAATAGGAATGTCTTTCTGAGCTAGAGTGGGCAGTGTTGATTCTAGTAAGTTATATGTATGTAATATGGCTTCACCTTGAACATCTTCACACATTGGGTGGTCCATATGTATAAGTGAGAGACAAAGATCTTCACTGTAATAATAGAGTGAAAACTTCTCTGGACTGGGCGTAACTAAAGGGCAAGGACTGTGGCTTCCATACTTACAGGGAAGCGCCAAGGACACCCTTCTGCCCATACTTGACAGTTTGTTATCACAATATTTGTTACATGCAGGAATACCTGTGAATAATCGGTTACTGGTAGCTAACATTTTGCAAGGTGCTTTGGATTGGTGAATTAAGGTAACTCCAGCCCATATGGTACTTTTTTAAGGAATACATTTTCTAAGAAAGCTAACAATTAAAATTATGTCCCAGACTTCTGTTCGTTAACTATGAAAACCAAGTTCAAGCCTGATCCTTGGGTGGATTTTTCCCTCAAGACTACCTGGAGCACTTTAAAAAGGAATAGTATATGGTTGAAACAATTTAAATCCCTCTTTTTGAAAAAGTAGCCTGAAGCATGTTATTTCTTTCTTTTTTTTTAGCATACGTGTTGGAGAATATGTTGAGTTTATTTGGTGTTGCAAATGGATGACACATGACTCAGAGTAAAATCTTTGACTTGTAGAATAAAATACAACCCCTTACAGGCGAATTGAATAGAATTTGTGTGTGTGTGTGTGTGTGTGTGTGTGTGTGTCCGCGCGCGCGGGCGCAAAGAGGACTAGGAACGTCTCTGAACTTTTGTAGCGTCAATAATTATTTAATAAGCATTTAGTTATCCCCATAACCAAATAATTTGACTTGTAGGTTTAATTTCTTTATCTATTCAGCTTAAAACTGTGGCCTTCCAGAAATGAGTCTGTTGGCAAATTTATACTGACCCATCCCTGTTTTTATATATACCATCTTCATGTTCTTTAGGGCCGTTTTCTCAAAGCGAACTTGAAGGTATTGACCTTGCATTTCTTCCCTAATATCGAACGAGGATGTAAGTTCTGGAAGGATTTGTGGATCTGTGAGCTGATTTTACAAGGCTTGCGAGGTGTTTCCAAACCTTCGGGACTTAAGAGTAGAAAAGGCGGGGTGGTGCGCTACCTAGGGGGAAATCACAGGGAGAAAGCGCCGCTTTAAGACCTTCGGTTTAGAGTGTGTAGTTTAATCACCGCCAGCGGCAGCGGCGAGGGCAAGCCCCCTCCCCACCCGCCACCCCAGCGGCGCCCCTCGGGTTTCCTTGGTGCCGCGGCGCCAATTGCTTCCGGGTCGCGGCGGACGTCGTTTCCGTAGCAGCATGGCGGCCACGGAGGACGAGCGGCCGGCGGGGATAGCTGAGGGAGAGCGGCTGGATTTCCTGCGGGACCGGCACGTGCGGTTCTTCCAGCGCTGCCTCCAGGTCTTGCCGGAGCGCTACTCTTCGCTGGAGACCAGCAGGTAACCGGTGGCCACAGTCCGCGGGGCCGACACGGGACCCGGCCCCCGGGAAGGGCGGTGCGGAACCTGACGGCTAAGTGGGCGCCCGCGGGGAGCTGCGCCGCCGCCCACCCAGCACTGCCTCTTCTCCTGGGCCCGCCTGCGGTCACCCTCATTCCCCCGAGCTCCGGGAGAGGGCTGCGGGGAGCTCTAAGTCGAGGGCTTTTGAAATCTCCAGTTTCTACCCTTTTCACTTCCCATTTTTTCCTGTCAAGCTGGAGCTTCCTTTTTACCCCTTCACCAAACCTGAGTCACTTGGCCTCACTTCCGAGTATGAAAGGAAAAAACAAAGCGTTTGTCATTGTATTTACATAAATAGCGTCACTAATGCATAAATAGCGTCACTAATGTCCTCCATAAAGTCATTAACTCCTAATTAGATGCCTGTGTGGAGTTTGATGTGTAGGTACGGCAGAGAGCCTCTAAAGCTTGGATAGATAGGAACTTTCCAGGAATTGTAAATCTAGTACAGGATTGACTAAGGAGGTGCAGTGTTGCTTGAAGCAGGCTGTTAAAGTTTATTTGCAGTAGCCTTGTGAGTTGAAGTTGGCTGAGGACTTAGATCTGGCAGAGGCTAAGAAACTGTGAATTAGTCATTCAGAGTAAAAGTCTGGGGCTGAGAATAACGAAAGGAGGAGGCGATCTCTGCTCTGCATCGCTGTGTTTGAAGTGAGGCTCCACAACTGTGGTGGAGTGGATTGGAAGAAGAGAGCAAGTTGGTTTTACTCTTACCTGTTTCCGTATTTTCTCAACTGAGTCTGGAGAATTTTGAACACTGCGTGGCAGGGTCGTTTTGGAAGTTTCATAGATTACTTCTGCACACGTGGTCAAGAAATATTTATTATGATAGGTGCTGGAGGACAGCTGAACAAGGCAAGCAGGCAGTTTCAATAGGGCAGGTTCCTAACCCAGATTTCCTTAGAGAGGCCTTCCCTAATCATCCCTTCCAAAAGAGGCTACTTCCAGTTACCACCTAAAATTATATATTTATTGGTTTGTTTGTTTAATATCTTTCTTTCACACTAAATTGTAAACTTCATGAAGACAAATTTTTGTCTTGTTTACCTTGATAACATCAGGGCTGCCTCATCCAATTTGGTAGCCACTAGCCACGTTCGGTTATTAAACTTTGTGTTAGTTAAAATTAAATCAGATTAAAAAGCCACTTCCTCTGTTTGTCGTAGCTACCACATTTCAAGTGCTCAGTCACCACATTGGCCAGTGACTTTTGTTTTTATTTTAACATTTCCGGCATCTCAGAAAGTCCTGCGAGACAGCATTGCACTAGAACCTTGAGTAGTATCTGGCAAAAGAGAGGGCAATGGGTGTATATTTGTTGAATAAAGTAAGCTGAGCCCTGATGGAGGAACAGAACTTTTGGTAAAGGAAGAGTGAAGCGTCGTTTATATTCCTTTCTCCATCGGTATTGATTGACTAGCAGAGCCCATATCTAGACCTCAGATAACATTTCTAAAACTCAGCCCATTGATTGTAATGATATGAGATGTTTAGAAATCTACTGATAAATCACACTTATGTCTTATGAGGATTAATTTTATGTGCATTTAAAGCATTTGAATTAAAAAATCATCCGATTTTGATTGTTAAACAGTTGAACTTCGCTTGTAGCTATCAGTATAGGTCTGTGGTTGCATTTTCAAAAGGCCTCTGTGTTTGGTCTATTCTTCAAAATTCAGCAAGGACAAAACCATACAGACTAATGAGTGTTGGCAGTAAACTGTAATCCTGCCCATAGCATAAGTAGAACAGCAAAACTTGTCTGATTAAACAGTTAATTTAAGAATTGATTTAATAACTTTTGTATAATCTTAGGATCTATACCAGACATTGTATATTAGATAATAGATATATAATATCACAGTGTACTAGTTAAGAGATATAAATTATATTTGTTTATGCCTTCTGTTTGTCACTTAAGTATGTTTTATCATTTTTGTTATTTTATGGCTTAATTAATAATCACATTTAACCTGTACGTATAACCTGTGCATATCAGTTTTTGTAGTAATTTCTTAAAATTTTTCATCTTTTCTTTTTCCTGGTTCACAGTCTTTATTTTTCTTAGTTCAGCATTAAGTTTTTTTGTGGTGTATATGATTCATAATTGACTTTCAGGTGCTTGTGAAGAAGCGCCAACTTTTTAAGCAAAGGTGACTAGTCACAAAATTTTTATTAATACCAGAGTTTTAAGATGAAACAATGTGTTGACTAAGTCATCATTCTTATCTAGTATTATAGTTCAGTTCCACAAGCATTTATTGAGGGCCTGCCACGTGTCTCGGTGTCGTGATACAATATTAAACTGATGATTCAGGTATTCCTGTGTTCTTTTTACTGATAGATACGCAGCAGCTGACTCTTAGGAAGGCTAATATTGAACTAGACGTTTAGACACTTATTTTCTGGCCCACCATTTTGGCAAAATCATTCTATTTCCCTGTTTCTTTTAGCCTGACCAATAGAAATTATTTTTATTTTTCTAATAGCAATTGCATTATGAAAATTTAAAAAGTATTGTTTGTTGCTTCACTTAAGGTTTTTCTTTTATATTAACTTATGAAAAATGATGGTTACTAGTTAACTCAAGTGAATATAGATCTTGGATTGTGAGCTTTTGTCAGTTAACAGGTTTCTTTTCAGGAGTGGTTCAGAGCTTTTTTTTTTTTTTTTTTGGTTATATGATATTGTTGCCATTCGTGTTTGGGTAATAGGCATTAGAGGCAGACCTTATCTCATGAAACATAATTATCACCAAGAGCTGTGATTTTTCAGATGTGCCCACTGTATTGTGTACAAATTTTCCCTATGTCTGAAGTATCGTTTTGTTTTTGAGAAGACTCGTTGAGGGAGTGGTGGAGGTTGCCAACCAATGAAAAGACCTGTGGTGCAAGACTGTGATTGTTACTCCTGTCCCTTCAAATCAGGGAAAATACCAATAATAATAGCTTCCATTTAGTTAGTGCTTGCTTGTGAGCAAGTAAGCACAATAACTGTGTGAGGTTTAATAGTTTACAGATAAGGAAGACGACTTAGAAAAGGTTAGGTAACCTGCCTAGATTACATATGACTGGAAATTGGCCAGCCTAGGATTTGAAGCTGGTTTATTTGCCTGCAAGTCTGAGCTCTGAACTACTGCTTCCCACATAAAGGGAGGTTCCACTGCCCTTAATTTATTCCTGATCTTATCCAGATAAATCACTTCCCTAATTCAAGTGGATTTCAGTGGGTTGTTAGAATTAAATTGAGATAATACAAGAGAAACTTCCCAGCTCAGTGTCTTATACATCGTGATAGTCTCTCACTGTAAGTTTCTCAAAGTATATTGTTCTTGGGTGTACCAGTATCTCATTAGTTTTAGTTTTTGCCCTTAAGCCTTTTTTGGAATTAAATTGCTCTCGGATTTCTCCTGTTAACTAATACAGGCCAGCCTTTTCAACCAGGGATCAGAGAATTACACCCTTTAAAAGAATGAGTGACTGTTTTTTCATTTCTCCTAAAGTTGGTGATACCATTATAGATGCATAGGAAAGCAGTTAATTATATACAGTGGTTGCCTTAGGGCATTAAGGCTTAATTATGTCTTGGAATCTCTGTTAAAAAGGTTACAGAATGTGTCAAGTGGCTCTGCTAGAAGATTTTAGACCAAATAATTTAAAGTCTTAATTTATCAGTATTAGTGAAGGAATTATGAGAATACGAAAGTGAGATAACCATGCTGAATCAAACAACATTGTAGAATGAATCCCAACAGGAAAGGGATTATATGTAACAAATTCTTTATATGAAAAGCAGTCACTAAAGGGACTAGTTTTTATATGAATGCAAAACGCTTTGATTTCTGGTTTAGTGTACAATCTTGGAGGGAAAGTGTATTTGCTTTATAGTATTCCATTTTATCAAAGAATGTTCCTCTCTGGGAAAATGGGAGTTGAAATACAAATGCATTTGCACTTTTTAAAGTTTTTCTTATTTCCCAAAATTCCTTATAAGTTTTTTCCAAGGGGTCACATTTGTAAACAAATTTGAATAATGATAGATTTATTCTAACATCTTTAAGAATTAAGCACCAGCTATATGCATGAGTGCTCTTGGCAAAATCAGTGAAAATTGAGATTTTTATGTATTTTCCAGTCTTTTGGCCTTATTTGTATTGATTAGGGGCAGGAAATTCTCTTTTGTAAATCTACTTTTAACCTTCAGGTTGCTCATAAACTGGCTTCAGTGGATTCATGTATACTTCAGATGAGAAGGATTGATTTCTTAACCCTTAAATGTCCCTTTATTAAAAATTAAAACAAAGGTTTGATTGATAATATTAAACTATAAGAATAAGTTGTGTTTTTTGGCTTTTGCAAGTTGGGAGTGTTGTTTGAATTATTGTAAAATTAGAATGAATTTATTTTTTTCTGAACAAGAAAGACTTCATTGTTTTTATAGTTAAGATGAAATTTTATATTTTTTCTTTTAGGTTGACTATTGCATTTTTTGCACTCTCTGGACTAGATATGTTGGACTCCTTAGACGTGGTGAACAAAGATGATATAATAGAGTGGATTTACTCCCTGCAGGTCCTTCCCACAGAAGACAGTGAGTGAGTTTTTAACGTTTTATTTTTAGTGTGACTAGTTACACCTGGCATAACATGTGTTGGTCTAGGAAATCTTAGTATTTATTTATAAATAATAGCATGTTTTATTCATCTGTGTTTTCCTTGTCATACAACACTCCCCTTGTATGCAAACACAATACTGACCAAGTCTAATCATTAATCTCTGGAGAAAACAGTTTAGAGATGGGGTTAGATAGAGATTCACAGTTCTGCATCCTGCTGTGTTGTGCACTTCCATGTTGATGAATGCTTGTTGATTACTTCCGTTCCGTATTTATGTTTGCTCACTTTTGTAGCATTCACCCAATTTTTCATTCCCAACCATTCTTTTTGTCTCTTCAGTAGAAAAACTCTTTGCTGTTAAAAAGTTTCATTTCTGTCTCCTGGTCATTTTCCCTCTAATGTTTCATTAGCATTTCTTTAATGGTTTCTTTGAGCTTTTACTTATACTTAAGAAATTTTTATACTTCTTAAAACTTTATACATCTTGATCAATTAAACACATTTTCAAAATTCATAAATTATTGATCAACTAAATACACACAAATTTTATAAACTCTTATTCACTCCATTAAGTGTAAAGTACGTAATATCGATTTAACTTATAGATGTTAAAAATTCTAACCTTAAATTCAATTAGATCAAGCAAATAAGCTCTCAGAAAATCATGCTGTTTTTATCTTTGGTTACCACTTGCCTTTCTTTTAATAGTCAGCATTTATAAATTAACTGTGTGTTTCATTGGTTGGAGTAATCAATATAAATCTCAACTGGATGAACTTTGGGGCAATAATAAGCTAAAGCTTTATTTAGAAAGAAAAAAAGAGCTTTGATCCAGTAGCAGATGCTATTGGACATACTTGATGGCTTTTTACTTTATTTTTCTTCAAGTTTGTATTAATTGTTTCTATATAATTTTAAAAATCTATGCTTGTTGATAAATTTTTGTTAAAAAGTGATGAAGCGTTTTTAACTAGATCTATCAGAATTTTAATACATAGATATCTTATCACTTTTCACCTGCTATATGTGATATACCGGTTAATACTTACAGAGTCTAACATTTTGGCGAGTAGGAATTACTGAATGTTCTGCTAAGAGTATTTTGCTAAACCTGTGGAGAAGAGCCGTTATGGTCCTCGTTGTCTAGGAGCTTGTGGCTGAGGTGAGGTCACAGTCTAGTCACCTGCAAAGTGGCAGTAATTTGTGTTTTCCCTTTTTCTCAGGATTTTTTTTTCCACTAGTTTATGTAAAAGTCTGGGGTTTTTTTTAACTTAGATATTAAACAGGTGTAAGGTAGTTTTATTACAGTTTTGTTTGTTTACTAAAAATACATGTCCTGATCAAATTATATGCTGGAGTTTCTTAAATATATTTCGCTTAGTACAGATAGGAAATTATACACTGTGGTACATAGGAAATCTATAAGTTTTTTGCTAAAATACATTTTGTATTACTTTTATAAGTTATTTACAATACTTATTTCCTTAGAATAAAGTAGCTATTATCTCTCTAGAAAAGTAGAGACAATTGCATTTTACTGAAAGAACTTATACTATAGGTTACAGTTACCAGAACACTAGTCTTTCTTACATTTTTATCCACTTTTAAGGACTGTTTGCTGGCTCCATGTTTGATCTAATTAATACTCATATTCTTTTTAAAGCCTTCTTTTCTCATTGTTTGATTTTTTTATTGTGAGAGATTTGTTGACTTATCTAAACTTTCATATTATCCCTAATAATTGTGTTTGCTACATACTCACTAGAAGGGCCAAAATGAAAATGAGAATGTCGTACAACTACAGCTGTTATTTTACAACTCCTCTTTGGCAGTATTTACTAAAACTGAACATATGTATATTCTGTGACCCAGCAGTTCTACTCTCTAGTATGTACGTACCCAACAGAATTGAAAGCATGTCTTCACCAAAAGATGGGTACTAGAATGTTCATAGCAGTATTTTTCACAAGAGTCCATAAGTAGGAATATGCACACCACCCATCATTAGTGTAATAGGTGTTAGATGTAATGATATAAGTGTAGTGTAAATGATATGTTCGAATTCACACAATGGAATACTATACAGTAACGGGGAAGAACAATCTAGTCTTATATGCAGAAATTTGGTTGAATGTCACAAACATGTTTTGAGATAAGTATGTAGTGTATTATTCCATTTATACAAAGTTGAAAAGTAGGTAAAACCAATCTGAGCTTTTAGGGAGTGACAAGAAGTAATTAGAATGGGCTTCTAGGGTGCTGGTCAAGTACTTTTTCTTGGTCTGAGTGCTGGTTATACAGGTGAGTTTACTTTGCAAAAGTTCATTGAGCTGTTTATTACTCTCTGATGAAAGTTTAAAAAATTTTTTTGAATTAGAGTTGATACTTACCATCTATTTAGAGATTCATCAGTACAATTTCCCATTGTACTTTTGAACTCCATGGACTTCATTGGATTGAAGCCCATTGCTAATTTTTAATTTTTTCAGTCATTGAAGGTTAACTGTTGCTTAAAATATTTTTGCTTACATCTGAATTGTAAACTTCTGGAGGGCAGGGAATGCGTCTCTTACATTTCTTTTTCTTTTGGTGCCTAAAGCATTGCTGTGTATCAGCAGTTGTTGGACTGCTAAATCACCTGTACCTTTTTCTACTTTACTGTTCCTCTTTTCTATATTTACACATTTAGCCTAGAGCATCCTCTGGCTCCTCAGATATTTTCTCATTCATAAGGCATTGGCAGACTGCATAGAATATACTTTCTAAAACTCATAGCTCTGTATTTGTCCTAGTTTGTGATATCACATAAAATCTTAGGGAATTTAAAAATCTTAAAATGTTAAACAAAACCCAGAGACCATAAAGGAAAAGATTGGTAGATTTGAATGAATAAATATTTTTAAATGTTATGTAGGTAAGTGACAGACTTGGAAGAAATTATGCCAGTATATATAATAGGCAAAATATAAATATCCAGACTATAAGGAATTATTAAAGATTGAGAAAAAATGACACGGTTTATGAATAGGTAGTTCACAAAGAAGTACAGTCATAAATACATGAAAAGAATTGGTTAATTCTAGAAATAGGGAGCTAAAATAGAAATAAGGATGTTACATTATTTTTTACCTAACACATCAATTTAGGAAAAAGCTTTTAAAAGCTGGTAAGTATATGGGGGAAAGAGCACTTTCTTTTGATGGAAGTGAAAATTATTGTAATCTTTGGAAGGGCATTTTAGAAGTATAATTTTTAACCCTCACATATTCTCATGTGTGTTTTAGTTAGTTGAATAATGGCCCCTAAAATGTATGTCCACCCAGAACCTCAGAATATGACCATATTTGGAATTAGGGTCTTAAAGTAATTAAGGTAAGGTGTAATTAAGGTAAGGATCTCACAATCAGTGACTGGTATCCTTACAAGAGAAGGGAGAGGGAGATTTGAGACCCAAAGGGGAAGGCCATGTGAAGACAAAGGCAGAGATCAGAGTGATGGGTCAGCACAATGAGGAACACCAGGATTGCCCACAGCCACTAGAAACTAAGAGAGGGACATGAAATGGATTTTCCCTCAGAGCCTCCAGAAGGAACCAACCCTAATAACAGCTTGATTTTGGACTTCTGGGCTCCAGAACTATAAGAAAATCAATTTCTGTTGTTTAAAGCTACCAGGTTTGTGGTAAGTTCTTACTAACCTCAGGAGACTAATAGATGTGCACAAAAAACTGTATAGAGGAATGTTTGTTTTGACATTGTTTGTTATCATGACAAATTAGGAACAAAATAGATATTCAGCAAAAGTGAAACAGTTAAATAAACTATGATCTAGTAAAGAATTCTGTGCAGTAGTAAAGTGATTGAGATCTGTGTATGTACTGACATGAAACTGCTCATCATATATAGTTAAATGATAAATACCAACATGTACAGGGGTGTTTTGTTTAGTAATCTATGAACATCAGTGTTTAGGAAGAACATTCATAGGGAGTGTTTATGAAGGAGGAAGATGGGACCAGAGGTAGGGGATGGCAGGATAAGATACTTTAGTTTTATTCTATGTATATGCATTGTTTAAATACTTAAAATAAATCTTTCCCTATTAAAAAATTCAAGTTCAAAAAAATCTGTAACTTAACCTCTCTTCAAAGCACAACAAAAATAATTAAAAGCTAAACCTACTTACACACAGATATTAATATTTTATAATTTTCAGAGCATTGTCAGATACATCAAGTTTGTGCCTTCTGAAGGGGAAAATGAGAGGCAGAGTGATTAAGAGACCTACCTGAGGCCACACACAGATTTTAAGCAGTAGAGTCAGACTGAAATCTCTGGCTTCTGACTCCAAGTCCCAGTGCTGCTTTACTGTAGAAGTATATGGGGTCCCTAGTGGAAACTATTATGTGTGGCAGGCACTTAAATACCTTGTGAATATTTAATCACAGTTAACCCTGGCCTTCCATTTAATTCCAGGGTTGTAAAGAACCTAGTAGTATCCTAGTAATAAACGTGTGGTTAGAGCATTGGAGGATTGGGAGCCCTTCTCATCAACATCAGGAAGTAGTTAGGAAACACAAGGGATCTGGCTGGGAGTTTGTGTTACCCTCTCTGATCAGGGGCACAACTGGAGAATTTTGGAGCTAAAACCAAACCAACAATATTATAGTCCATCATTTTGCAAGTAAGGATATTAAGATCCAGAGAGAGTTATAATTTGTTCACAGTAATATAGCTAGTTAATGCTGGAGGCAAAATTAGAATACAGTTTTCTGTTTCTTATTTTCAATTTTTCTAATACTGATCCAATGAAATAGGTGCTCTATTATCATGTATGTTTTTCTATGATACGGTTTTTTTTTCATGAGAGCACTGAGGCTGTCTTCTGGGTCTAAAGGAAAATAAATCTGGTATCTGTTCTTTAAGAGCTTATAGAACATTAGTATTAAGTGTTTGGAAATGTAGATAAGGTAGTT